TGTGTGTGTGTGTGAATGTGTCACATACGTGTTTGCATGCACATGTGTGAGTGAGATCCGGCACCACAAGTTCCTCATAGTTTTGACGCAGGCGTTGAAATCCGTCTGCACGCAGAAGCACCTTGGTTCAGTAGAATACAGAAAGCATGCAATACAGAGGAGCTGACGAACATCTGCACACTCATGTACGACTTCACTGCTCGTGTGTTCATGTACTTGTTTAAAGGGTTGGCCACTGTACAGAAATGTGACCTAGTTACACTTCAGTTTATACGTAAATGTTTCTGTTCCCATGTGTGCTGTCTTTATTTCTCTCATCACTTTCTCTGTAAACGTGTTGCTTTTTTTTCTTCTTGTGACCAATCTGCTAATAAATTGTGAGGACGTGTTTTGTCCACTCACCTGTGTCCAAATACCATCTCGGTTCTTTTGATTTATTTTGGGGTTTGAGTCACGAAACATCTGACCAGAGTTTGATTTGAAGTTGGAAGAAAAAGCTTTTTGCTGTTTCTTGTTTGATGTTTTATTCGAGCACTTCTTTACACCCGGTGTCACAAAAAAAGTCACAACTTGTTTTTAAAAACTATTTGGCCTTTGAGATCTACGGCAGCTGAGCGTTTTATTTTCTGTGTTTGTTTTGTTTAAGTTTTACTTATTTGTGTGATTTAAAAACATTAGTAATCGTTCTCGCCAGAAGCTTTAGGTTGTGGACGGTGAGATTTTCTCTTCTTTAGTCTCTTTGGCAGGTAAACAGGTTTTTGTTTTTGTTTTTTGTGGCTGGTGAAACATGAAAGTGGCTTTTTGAGTTTTGGGATCCAGCAGCCAGTAGACAAAAAAAGATGGTTTAATGTTGTGAGTAATAACAATGCACTGTTTGTTTGGTGGTACTACTAAACAAGTTTGTGATTTAGGTAAGGCGTGTATCGTTTCTGTTCTTTTAAAACCGCCTGTGGCTTGAGGTTGGAGTATGTTTGAAACTGATTATTTATTTAGAAAGAATTTGAATGGAGATTTTTTTCATAATACTGAAAGTAATCAAACGCTTTTAAGTCAAAGTCTGAAATATGCACAGATTTTAACTGTCAGGATTGTAGAAGTGTACATATTTTACAGTCTCAATCTTTGAGCATGTTTTTGTTTTTCCTTCAGTAACTTAGTCGAACTTTTTCTGTCCAGATTTGATCTGTTTAAAACAAAATACTCCAGTTGTCAGTCTTACTTTTCTGAAGTTTGTCAGAAATCTAAATGCCTCTGTACTTGACTCCATCGTTTCCTCTGAACGTCTGTACATAAATAAACTGAGACATGTTCATCTTTTCACTGACTGGGAGGATATTTTATTATTTACATTTACAGATTATGTAATTCTATCAACATGCTGAGCTCAGAAGAGAAACGGTGACATCTACTGTTGGAAAATGTTCTCAGACTTTCTGGCCTCTTTCTGTGATGTAAATTATCTTAATCTGCAGTGAAAACTAAAAGTATAAAATCCTAAAAATATATCAGATGAGTGTAAAAGCTGACACTTATTGCCAGTCGATCTAATATATTTAGATAAATCTTCATGCTCATTAGTTACAGATTATTTTATCCTTTTCTGTTCGACTGATGAAAGTTTAAACTCCGGTTGATTTAACTTCACTCATGTTTATTTGAATCCTTTCTGTGGAGAGTAAATCTCCCACTATCCCCCTCAGCTCTCTGTTGTTGGCAAGTTAAGTCACTACAATGAAAACACAGCTGATCCGTCCTGTAATTCCTGCGCCGCCTGTCCTAACCTCCCCCCATTTGTTCCTCGACAGCTGTCACATACCTGCGTGACAGGTGGGAGATCACAGAGATGTGTTGATGAGTATTAGAGTAAAGAAACTACATTAGAAAACAGGATCGGTCTGAGGAACATGACAAAGGCATTAAGCTTTTTTATTGAAACCTGAAGGTATGATATTGTGTAATATTACAAATTATGTTAAATACATGGTGGGAGAACCAGATCTATACTTTTACTCATTTAGTATTTGCTTTTATATTGATTCAGTTATATACTGTCATGTCTTGTGCCACATAATAAATGTACTGTATAATATTTATCTCTGTGCACTGTATGAACTATAAGCATATTTATCATATTCTCAGTTCTGGTTGTTTCATATTCATGTAGGAGTTTAACTAACTGTACTTTCAATAATAATACTGTGGAAATCAGATGAAGCAAATTCAGAAGTTACTAAGCAACAAGATCAGTTCTTGGCAATGACGACGTAGCTCAGTGGAAACACTGAGGTCTCTCCTGTGCTGCAGAAAAACACAGCACAGTTCATCCACTGGGGTTTCAGTGACATTACAATACGGCCAAATCTCTGCTCCATTTGTGGATAAATGGGAGATTGTCTTTGTGTTTTTAAATTATAGCCAGTTATAAATCAAAATTAAAATGTGTGACAAATAATTTTATGTTGATTATCAAAAACATGAAGAAAAAAACATATAACTAGTAAATTTATGATGAAAAATGTTTTAATATGCAAAATAATGCATGTATAAATTATATATTAGCTATATTATTATATATTGTTTCAGCTAATTATTGTCTTTGACACTTTTGTCATCAGACTCACATTTAGAAGTTAAATTACCAAAATAAACGAATTTTCGCAAGTTGGTTAAAGTGTTATTTAAAAAAAAAAACTAATTAGTGAGTTAATTTCTTCCACAGGAGGTATTTCTTCCTTATTGCTAACTAAGTTCGTACTGTTAGAAGGTAAATAAATTCACAACACAGCCTCCTAGAAACTATAAAACCCGTTCACAGAAAAGAGAAAACGATAATGTTTAAAGATTAATCTGCCACGTTAATAGTTTTGGCGAAGATATATTTATAATATAATAACAGTTATTCTGCCCTCTTGTGGTCATACGGTGTATTACATCAACCCGCTACTTCCGGTAGGCACTTTCAAAATAAAACTAACTGCCTCAAAGTATTCCACTGAGACTGGAATATGTCGCAGAATATTTAAGATTAAATAGATAAGATAAAATAAGATATATGTATAAAAAATATATATATTATAGATATATAAAAATAAGTTCACAACACAGCCTCCTTTGAAGTTAGAAACTACAAACACTTTCCACAGGCAAAGAAAACGTTATAATGTTTAATAATTAATCTGCCATGTTTTTACATTAACAGTATATAAATCAGGGTTAGACTGCCCTCTTGTGGACATACAGTGTATTACACCACTCCGCTACTTCCGGTAAGAACTTTCAAAATAAGACAAACCGGCTCAAGGTATTCCACACCTTTAGACTGGAATATGTTGCATAATATATTTAGAAACTATAAAAACTTTCCACAGGAAAGAGAACACGCCATAGTATTTGTTAATTAACCAACTGGAATTACGTTTTGTAATAGTTTAATAATTAGTCAATAAAAGTTTTGGCGAGATATAATAATTACAATATAATCACAATTAGACTGCCCTCTTGTGGTCATACAGTGTATTACACAGGTCCGCTATTGTAAAGGCAGAAACAATTACAATTACACAAATATATTTCCGGTAAGCACTTTCAAAATAAAACAGACTCACGGTGTTCCACACCTTTAGGCTGGAATATGTTGCAGAATATTTTTTAAACTATAAAAACTTTCCACAGGAAAGAAACGCCATAACATTTGTTAATTACCCAACTGGAATTACGTTTTGTAATAGTTTAATAATTAGTATTGGAGCGAATAGATATAATTTATTCAATATATATTTCGACGATTAGACTTGGCCCTCTTTTGTGGTCCATACAGTGTTATTATCTATGGCAGGTATTCGCTATTGTAAGTGGTTATGCAGAATCTAATCAATTACATCCAAAAATATTCGCGGTTGAAATGGTCACTTTTTCAAAATAAAATCTGCATCACCCCTACACGATTTGATTTCTTTGAATGATTTAATTTATTTAAAAGGCTTGGAGACTAAATTATTGTAGTATCTGTGTGTAAAGAGATGAGAGATGAAGCTTTCCCTGCGCTCAGCTCCAGTCTTCTCCTGGACAATATAAAATATTGATAGCTACTGTTTGGTAGCTTTCTTGCTAGCTGGACTGTCAGTATTGTACGTTCTACTGTAAGAACAAAAATAAGTTCACAACACAGCTTCACTGACAGTTAGAAACTATAAACACTTTCCACAGGCAGAGAAAACGTTATAATGTTTGATAATTAATCAGCCATGTTAATAGTTTTGACGAAGATATAATATTTACAATCACAGTTATACTGCCCTCTTGTGGTCATACGGTGTATTACAGCGCTCCGCTGGTGTAAAGATAGACACAATTACACCGTTTTACTTCCGTTTAGCACTTTCAAAATAAAATAAAATAGCTTTTACGTATTTTGTACTCTTGTACTGGAATATTTTGCAGAATATTTCTAAACTCCTAAACTAGATACATTTTTAAAGACTTGCAGACAAACTTGTTTGGGTGTATTATGTTATATATCTAAAGGTTTTATTTTGTTGTCTGCATAGCTATGGTCTTGGCCTGCCTCCATAGAAAAAGAGAGTTTTAAATTAAATGCGACCTATTCCTGCGTAAATAAAGACATTGACATGATCACAGCTGTTATAGTTGTGTTGTATCATGCAATTGTCACTGTACATCCAAATACATAATAGAGAAAAACTTTGGAGACATACATTTTCTACTCTTTCAAGACATTTAAGTTAACTTCTTTTAGGCAACAAACGGGTCTGATTACGGCTACATAAACTATATAATAATATTATATAAGATAATAATACATTCTTCATGCTCCTTTACTGGTTCACGGTGCTTTGTCTCCATCTACCGGATCAACCGAAAACTACAACAACACCGGAAAATAGGAAAACAACATGGTGGCCTCCACAAGGCTTATATCAAGGTTGACTCTGGTCACTGGTACGTTTATATTTTACCGTCAAACATTATAATTCAGTGTGTAAAAACATAGTTAGATAAATACAGAAAAGTCTCTTTACAGGATGTTGTTTTTAACGTTGTGTGTTTGTCGTCAGTCTGTCAGTTTTCTCATTTAACTTAGTAACGATTGAATTATAATGTAAACTCATCAGTAACTCTCCGGAAGTTTAGTTAGTTTGGTTACTTATGTTCTTCTACTTTCTGCTCACAACTAGTTAAGTTAAATCATAACCCTGAGCCGTGACATTCAAAAAAGTATTATTATTTGGATGAAGGTAAAACTGGATGTTACTTTGACTCATATATAATTTTAATAAGAGCTGCAACGCTGATTTTTTATTATCGAGATAATCTGTCGATTTTTATGGATTATTTTGTCTATAAAATGTCTGAAAATAGTGAAGAATTTGTACAATGAGTCCAAATCTTTAAATGTCTTATTTTGTCCAACCAACAGCCAAAAACCCACAAAATATGCACATTAAAATATAAAACAGAGAGAGGCAGCAACCAGTAACTCTTCAGAACTTTTACTTAATGAATAACTAAAACGTTTTATTTATTATTATAAAGGATAAAACATCATTTGTCCTCCTACATTTCCAGAACCGAACAGTGGAAGCTAACACTCTTCAGAAGATAGAAAAGATCCAACAGTATATTATATATTATATAATACAGTTCAAATACACAAAGGAGATCATCATACAGTAGTTAAATAGATAGTCAGGAACCCATAAGAAGAAGAAACACTGACTCAAAGAGATGTACTCGAGGGCCAATGGATGTTAACTGCACGAAGGCCTGAACCTCTGGGTTAATCAAATGGAAACAAAACCTAGCTCAGTTTATATCAGGTTGATTGACCTTCTTCCTATCAGATGTATCCAAACGAGGTTCTTCCCTCTGAAACCATGAACACTCATACATTCATGACACAAGCTCAGTGTGCTGCTGGGTGCCACTCTGACTTCATGCTGCTCTCTTCCCACCCAGGAGGAGGCAGTGGGATTGGACGGGCGGTGTGTCAGCGCTTCGCCTCTGAGGGCGCCTCCGTGGTGGTTGCTGACATCAGCGAGGAGTCGGCCAATGAGACCCTGGGGAGCCTGCCGAGGGACCTCAGAGGACAGGGTCACATGGCGGCCGTGGTGGATGTGGCGTCAAAGGAGAGTGTAAAGAAGCTGGTCACAAGTATACAGGTGTGTGGTAGACAGAGAAAACACTACAGCACACATTGTTTTTGCTGTATGTTTGAATGCTGCAGGGACTATCACACACTTTCTTTTATCCTCTTCTCTCTCCCTCTGCAGACTCATTACTTTCAGCCTCCCTCAGTGTGTGTGAACTCGGCAGGCATCACACAGGACAACTTCCTGCTCAACATGGAGGAGGATCAGTTTGACAGAGTCGTCCTGGTCAATCTGAAGGTACGCAGCCGTGTAGCACAAAGCCAGATAAGTGGGTAATCCAGCTCTCTTTTGGGCTTTGGGTTTTATCACAGAAATGACCTGACCGTGGTAACCTTCGCTGCAGGACTAACCTGCTCCAGAGCAGGTTCACTTCACAGAATCAGATCAAAAGCACCGACTCTACAATAAAGTGTAAGTTATGAAGAGCAATTTATATTTTCACAGGCCAGTAGAATCGTTTTGGTGTTTCAGGCCATAGTTTATGACAAAATACAATATAATATAATAATGAAGATTAAATTCCTTAATTTCCACACAATTCCTGACAGTGAAAAACAGAAATAAATGTCACATAAACAAATAAACTCAGAATAACATGAGGCAACTTTGTGATAAGAATTGGAAATAAAAAGTATACTCTCTGTTGTCTTTAACTAGAACAAATAATCCACACATTAATTAGCTTCTATGATCATTAATGCAAGAGTTCAATCAAATAAACCTCATCAGACATTAACTGCCTTTCTTCTCCTCCTTGTTAACTTTTTTTTATCTGCATCACATATTCTATTCCAGTGGCATTACCAACAAAACACAGTGAGAGAGTCAAGTCTATTTTTAATAGTAATAATATTTTTGGATTATGAAAGCTGTTTGGTTAATTCTGTAAAGATGTAAGAGACTATATAGAAATATTTTAAATGTGCCACAGTGCAGAAAAGTTGTTTTTTTTTATTTCTTCCCTTCACAACAAACAAAACTACAACATTCCACAATTAAAACATTGTGAAACGCTGCAGGTTAACATCTTTCCTCCTGCGTCTCTCCCAGGGTTCGTTCCTGGTCACTCAGGCTGTCGCTCAGGCTCTGGTGGCCTGTGGAGCACCCAAAGGGTCCATCGTTACTGTGGGCAGCATTGTGGGAAAGGTGAGACACCAGCAGGCCTGTCTGACATATCCTCTCTATTTTTTTTTTTTAAGTATTTTTTTTTGGACTTTTATTGCCTTTATGATAGTGATGGCTGAAGACAGACAGGAAAGGGGGGCAGAGAGAGGGGATGACACGCAGCAAAAGGGCCGCAGGGCGATTCGAACCTGGGCCGCTGCAGCAAGGACTCAGCCTCGGTACATGGGTCACCAGCTCTACCCGCTGAGCTAACCGGGCGC